AAGATGTAAGTACAACTCCTCCGGTTTCATATGCAAAAAAATTATTGTGCTAGCTCACGTGGTTGCAGAGCTACCGGGATTTAAATGTAGTTGCGCAAAGCGGAGCGTGCCCTCTGACCGGTTTTAAAGGGTTAACCAAACCATCGCGTGTCACACCAAAGGAAAGCTTTGAAGCTGCTCCCATCCAACATCTACAGTAAAGCTACAGAAGTTAAATAAAAGCATGAGTATGAAGATGAACTGTTAGCTTAGTCTGATACAATGTTTGACTTTGGCAGTTTGCTGAAGGCTGCAGCAGGGCTGAATCTAATCTAATCATTTCAAGGCTTTAATACCATTATTTTACAGATTCATGTGAAATATACAAAACAGGAAAAATATTATATTAAGTTCATGACATTAATATTTAAGCAGATAAAAATGAAAGCTCACCCACTAGCCCGGGACTTTCTAGGTTGGACACTGAATCATTGTTAACATCTAAACCATCACAAAGTTGTTGTTTTCCTGCAGCAGGAAACGTTGCATCAAAATAGGACAAACCGCTGAGAATGTCAACATGCTCGAATTTCATCATTGTAGTCATGAGATATTTCTTTAAAACCTCACACTCCCACGTGCACATGTGTCATTAACACGCTTAAGCAAACAGACACACACAAAAACGCACACACATGATCATATACAAAAGGAACCTCACCGAGAAGACGTCATTTTCTCTCTTTTTGCCTTCCAAGGAAACCGCGTGAAAGACATTTTATTTTAGCCTTTAGTTTAAGCTGCATGTATGCCTTATTTTGATTTAGCTGATTACACATCTAAGCTTCAACGTGTCCAGAACTCTGCTGCCCGTATTATCACCACATCACCCCCTCCAGCTTCATTGGCTCCCAGTCAAATATCGCACCAATTTTAAAATACTTTTGTAAACATTTAAGGCTATTCATCAACTGTCCCCTCCATATCTCTCTGATATGGTTCAGATCACCACTCTGCAGCAGTGCTTTCAGCTGCTCTGGAATTCCCTACCTCCTGATATAAGAAATACCACTTCCTTTTCTCTTTTCAAGCCTAGACTCAAAACTCACCTGTTCAGAAAAGCTAATCCCACATAATATTTTCCATTCTGCTATTTTAAATCTGTTTTATCTTTTATGTTTTAGTAAATTTCCTGCTTTTAGTTTTTCTGCTGTGTACAGTGTCCTTGGCTGTTCTGAAAGGCTCTTTCAAAAAACACGTATTATTATTTTTTTGTGCATTTTTGAAAAAAAAGAAGAAAAAAAGAAAATAAAAATTACAACTATTGCAATTTCTAAAATAGAAACCAATGAGCAATTCATTTTGACATAACATAGGATTTCTTACCTGATAACTCAATAACTGATCGAATAATCAATTACTAAAATTTGGATTATTACAGCCCTACATTGAGCCGAGCAAAAGATCAACCAAACCAGAACAGGAAATCAAAGAATAAACTCAGACACGTGACAAAGCTCAGCTCTAACAACGTTATACACTTACTTGTGCTGCCCCCTGCTGGTGATTTATGGAAGTGGAAGTCAGAATCACTTGAAAGAGCCTTAAGGTTGGTAAAAGAATCTGTCTGTAACGGTCCATAGGGCTGGGGATGAAGCCTGATGGGTCCCTCATCACCCTGCAAACCAAAGAGGAACAGATGCAAACATGAGGGAAACTAGAAATATAGATTTCAACAGCTCAAATTTTCTGAATAAAGGGCAGAGTTGTTTTAAAAAGGGATATGAGATGTTTACATATCAAATATAAGAACTTTTTAAAAAGACAGCTAGTCCTCTCACTCTCTCCTCCACATCCATACCTGTGTGCGTCGCTGTCGGGCACCATGTCAAACACCTGACACTCCATCAGCTGTGCCACCAGCCCACAGCGCAACAGCTCCACGGCTCCCTCCCCCGTCTTAGCCACACGAGTCAGCAGAGCCTAAACAAGCAAACAAGCTTGTAGCTTCACAATCTTCCCCTCATTGAGGCTGCTGTGTTCAATTTTAGAAACTAAACACTGAAAACTGTCTCCTCACCATCTTGCTTTCAAAGATGTAGAGTGGTTTGAGCAGAGGTGGCTGTGGTGTGAGCAGGCTCTGCAGCGCCACATCATCCTGCCTCAAGCTCTCCACCAACGACCGCAGGTAGCCACTGTTGCAAATATACAGCAGCCACTGATTCTGACGGTCAATTGACAGGATACGGTCCAGCACGGCCATGGCCAGCATCTAACAGGGCGGGGGGGCAGAATACTTGTTAGGCTTGGTTAACATTAAAACAGAGAGGTGTTGATAGAAGCAAAAGATACTTGGCATTCCAGAAAAGCATGTTAGGATGCATCAAGATTGGGGGCAGAGAAAGCTTCATGTAAGTTTAACCCTTACTCTGCTGATTTCATGGCCGTCACAGGCATCTCGGCACACAACCTCCATGAGGGCCTTGCCGTAGCTCTCGATGATCGCAAGGTTCTCCCGCTGCAGTTTGGAGAAACCATCTTCAGGAGCTGTGAGACGTTCCCACATTGCTTTGCCTGCTGCAAACACAAACATTTCCTCAGACAAACCCACTGTTCCTTTGAAATGATACTAACAGACAGTATATGTCAGAAAACACTAACAATGACTTTTTTGTCAAATAAAGAGAGGTCTTATTATAACCTGCAGTGTGTGATTGCTTCTGTGTTGTACCTGTCTGCAGAGTGTCCGGTTCTTCAGGTTTCTGGGCAATTTGCAGATAATACAGCAGAGAGCCGTACAGGTGAGCACGCAGACGCTGATATCCGCCTCCTTAAGGTGTGAAAGACATTACAAAAACGTACTGGGATCAAAGTTTATCCTGAAAAGTTTCCCCGTGTGAGAAATGTG